AGTAGTTATGTCTCGTATAAATTTGTCCTGTTATTGATGTGTCTAATGCGCAACCAGATATTCAAATATATTATATATGTTTAATAGTCAAACGTAATTTTTAAGCAATTTTGACAGCCCTAGTGGGTAGTTGGTTGGTTAGGTAGGTAGATGGTTGGTTGATTGGGTAATGGGTAGATGGTTGGTTGGTAGATTGGGTAATAGGTAGGTGGCTGGTTAGTTTGGTTGGGTGTGTGGGTTAGGTTAATGGTTGGTGGGTTAGGAAGGAAGATACATAGGTAGATTGCTGGTAGGTGGGTGAATGGATAGCTAGATGGATAGTTGTTTAGGCAGGTGTGTGGGTGGGTAGCTAGATAAATAGGATCAGATGCGCAGAGGAATATACAACTCAAACAAACATGACGTGTAGACAAGTAAAATTGTATGTACTCAAAAAAAAGAGAGCAGCGTTTTCGAGCGTGACAATTGAGAGCTGATTCAGCCTGGAGGTGGGAGGATTGGAATGGACAGGATGCACTAGACCAGTGTTTTTCAACCTTTTTTGCGTCAAGGCACACATAAGACACAGAAAAAATCTCACGGCACACCAACAACCGGAAATGATATGAAAATCAATCCCAAACATAGTTTCAGCATGAGCATAATATACTCTAAGAAATCAGGGAAACGCGTGTTCTATTTGTTGTGTTTTATTAAACTTAACATCATCCTAATGCCAAGATGGCACAGGCTTTATGCCCAGGTATCTCTTAAGCCTAGTTTATGCTTCTGCGTTTTCTCTTGCGTCGCTTTTCACACCTCCTTGCGTCCTTCGAGCCATTTTTTTAGGCTTGCGTCGAAAGCAACGCAAGCCTCCCGCAGCGCACCAGGCTGCGATTGGTCCGCTAACTACGTCCTTTACGGAGTCTCACATTTCCGCTTTTATAGACCGATACCGGCATTATTAAAACGAAGAATGTTTACGAGAGAACGGATCAGATTGAAGAACTTTTGTCGGAAGAAATGCGTAAATATGACAACCCGCCAATGACGGCTTGTAGAAGCGGGTTGGATTCACGGAGGGAGATCGCCGCAAATGTCGGTTTGCCCATCGAGAGGTGCACAAAGTTGTGGAGGAAAATACGGGACAAATGTGTCCGCGATAAAAAACAGCAGTGGCGATGCACGGGGCAATAAAGTCTATGATAAATAAATAAACAAATAAATAAATAGACGTGACTCTCTAGGTCGTCTTCAACAAAACACGTCACTCCACCTGTTGTTCTGGCGGTGAATTGCTCTGCAACACACGCAGAACCATGAATTGAAACGAGTGTAGCATGCGCCGGCCTTAAATCTCACTTTTTTAAATTGTCGCCTCAGCAAATCTGCCTATTAATTATGCTGCGTACCACCACCCACAGGCAGAGGGGAGTATTGAGCCTTCATACCACCAACAGCGCGACGACACACACACACAAACACACAAGTTGGCTCTTTTTTTTCACCAATGAAGTGACAGTATGTAAAAAATGATTTTTTTTCACGGCACACCTGACAGCCTCTCGCGGCACAAGGCACACTGGTTGAAAAACACTGCACTAGACAACCACGACGCGCTGACCCAACCCCATGTGACTGAAACGAGATCCCGCAGAGGGTAAGGTCAATATGTATCAACGGCTCCAACCTCCCAGCGAGCCTCGGCTCAGGCGTAACCGGCAGCACCAAGAGACTGACGTATTGATTAGAAAACCCCGGGACAGGAAAAATGGTACTGCTTGAAGCCCGGGGTCAACGTAGCGCAGGGGTAGAGAGGATGTGCGGGAAAACGCAAGGTTGGTGGTTCAAGCCCCGGCTGCTCCATGTCCCATGTCGAAGTGTCCCTGAGCAAGACACCTAAACCCTAATTGCTCCCCAGGCAAAAATGTAAAAAGCCATGGGTTAAAAATGCAATGTAAGTTTGTTGGGAAACAATAAAAGCGTCAGCTAAATGACCTGTAATGTAATGATTAGGAGCGATGGTGCTCTGATCCACTTCCTGAACACTTCTCCAGTGGCTCCATTACTCGGGAAGATTTTCAGCGTGCACATGCAGTAAATATTAATACACCACGCATATAGTACTGAAAATATGCTGCCCCATTAAAAAAAGGTTGTTTAGAAATATAAAAAATATGTTTTAGACTATATTTAATCTTTCAACGATTCAATTCAATTTCAATTCATTTCATTTTGTGTAGCCCAAAATTGCAAATTACAAATTTGCCTCACATAATGAAAATCCAACTAAATTAAGACTTGTTAATAAACAGTGGTAAAAATCATGATGCCAGATCCATAAACTCCATAAAAGTTGTCTTGATGTCACCTATTGGCTTGTGGACTGTTGAAGCCCCGAGTTGGGTCATTTGGCCGCTTCCATCTTGGTTCTTTGCAACCAGTGAACAGGAAGTGACCATATATGGAAGGAGAGAGGTAGAGACCAGTCAATCACATGGTACCCCCGCCCTAAAGGATACCCTTCTTAATCGTTTCTTGGTGAATGATTTAGAACTTTCAGATAATATAATGGTGATTAGGAGAAAACTGAATATTTAAATATAAAAATGTTCCTTGCGTTGTAAAGACTAAATGCTTTAACGATTCAAAAAATAGGAAAAAAAAAGAATGAAACCGTCATTGATAGTAATGTAATAATGTAGTTGCAGCCCAGCATGTGTTACATATGGATTCAAACACAGTCAGATATGGTCTTTCAACCTTCCCCCCTGCCCCTCTCATGGGACTGCTCCCGTCTCCTGGTCTGTTTGCTAGGCAGCCGAGCAATCCGAGCCGAATGCTGATTGGCTCTTCTGTGTGTGTGTGTGTGTGTGTGTGTGTGTGTATGTGTATGTGTGTGTGTGTGTGTGTGTGTGTGTGTGTGTGTGGAGAGAGGGTTAACTGGAGAAGTGTAGTGCTGATTTTGGAGAGCGTCGGAGAGACAACGCACTTTCAGGCTATGTCTGAATATAGAATTATTTTTACAGATATGATGATATGATCCCCAATAGATGTTGTTGACTGAATTGGACGGCTTCATCTGTACGATGTCTCTGAGCATAGAATAATGTGAATAATGAATAATGCTAGAACCAAACCAGCTTTTAGTATCTCTTAAGCTTTCATGAGCTCACAGTCTTTGTTCTCCAGCTGCACTCCAACGGCCGAATCTCAAATGTGGTTTCAGGTTACACTTTTGATCCCCCTCCCGAGACTCACTTTAGTGGTATGAAAACAAATTACTGTAGCTCAATGATTTTACCTCGTTCCGAAAGTACTTCTCAACCACTGGGCCACAATCTTCATGGAGGAGCATCAAAGGGAGCTCAGGGCTCATCAGTAAAGTCTTATCAGCGACAGAACAAACAGGCTCTTTGTGTTTTGCGACAGAGACAAACGCTTATTGAAACCTGGATAGGTATCTCTTCACTGGGACCATGTGTGTGTGGGTCTATGGGGGTTGGAGGGGGAGGGTTCTTATTGACAACAGAAACACATGGGCAAAGAGACGGTGCAACACGAAAATAACCAACCACTAAGAAGGAGAGACGAAGTGGCGTTACGAAGTGGCGTTACGAAGTGGCGTTACGAAGTGGCGTTACGAAGTGGCGTTACGAAAAAGTGGCGTTACGAAGTGGCGTTACGAAGTGGCATTACGGAGGGCGGCTGAACCCGGAAAGAGATCAAATTACTGCTCAACGTCAGCCAGGTCGAAGAATTTAAAGCCACACAACAGCCCCAATATCAGGGAACTCAATGTCTGCATGTCTGCAATGAGTCACACATGAACAGCTTAATGGAAACAACCTAAGCCGCCCGACTTAAAAAGTAGAGCGTGGACAAACTGAGGCGCCGATCCTGACCTAAATATAGAAATCCAGAGAAGGAGAGAGCTAAAACGGGTTTGTTAAGAAATAACTCGGGGTTAGCGACTTCTGATAAGAGGTCAGAACGTGCCACCGGGCCGCACAAAGTCATCGTCATCGGCAGCATTGCGCCATTGTACAGCTGGTGATGCCGTTCTATGCTATGCTACTAGACATGTTACTAGAAGAAAGGGGAGTCTGTAAAATGTTTGGATCAACGTGCTGTATTTTCATCCACCAACAACCCTGCCCCAGATGGGTCAGTGACCAGGGCGCTAAAGGGGCTAACTTCACTCTCTGAGGAACACCGATTTAACCTCATCCCAACCTTTATTGTTCTGCCTGGATAGTATATCCATTAAAGTAAAAACATTTATATATACAGGCGAAGATCTGACGTTGGGAGGATTTCCGCTGCCTCGCCAGTAGTTCATAGTTGAGGATGTTAACAGCACACAGCACCACTGCATATATATACATATATATGTATATATATGATAGATATGGCGCTCATGTCGTCTTATTGGTATCCACTGCCAAAGACGTTTCTAGTTTTTTGTAGTTGGCCTTGGACCAAGTGATTTAATGAGGATAGTGGATACAGATCGACAGTTCTACTGGGATGCCTGCAGCTTAAAACTAATCAGAAAGTAGAAATCTTGTCTACGGATGTAGAAACAAGTCTGTTCTTTCCCAGATTCCTTCCTTTTTATATTCTGAAGATCAGCAGAAACAACAACGCCAACCATCAACAAAATTATTTAAAAAAATACTAGTAGAAGTTTGGTTTTATTTCAAGCGCAATTTTCCACTATGTATTCCCCATGGAACCAAGGGGGCCAGAACCACCTCGGCCCTCTCGTTTGTCCAGGTAGTGGTGGACACCAGGAACTCATCACAGCAACCTTCTCCTGGCACGAAGGCGCTATAAAGAAAGACTTCATCGGCGTGGTGATCACAAAGCAAAGCGCCTTTCACAGTGATCACTGCGGCGTACACGTTTCTTCTCAGTGGCCACGAGCCTCACAGCATTCAATTAGCGGCGGCTAAACTAACCGATCCCGGCGTTCAGCGGTTGAGCTGGAACAGGTAGTGGATGCTGCTCAGACTCACCTTCAGGGCCACGATGAACAGGTCGCGGGCCTCCAGCTCTCCCTCCATGATACTGAGCAGGGTGAGCAGCTCCGGCTTGCTCAGGTTATCCATGTTGAACTCACATTTCTGTAACAAAATGAAGGAAAACTAACTCATCAGAATCTCTACAGTATATTATTATTCATATTAGGGCTGGTATTGGACCCTCAATACTTCTTAAACGTCCATCAACTTTTTTGCATGTATCAGCATGTGAACGCGCTCAGATGCTTGATGTTAACGTTAGCATTAGCCTACTTCGCTATGAGCTATTTACTTGTCTTTATCAATGCTGGTTTTTTTAAATATATTTTGCTTCAAGTTATAAAACCAACTACTTCTTCCTCCACTAATGTTTGGCATAACACCAGTTAATGCTAACATGAAAACAGAGAACAACTCAGATTGCAGAAAAATGTCTATTTCTAGAATCCTAATATTCTGAACAGTTGGTTAGTCTTCAGCTTAAAAAGGATCCTGTCAGAAAAATTCTTACTCTTCAATCGGCATAAGATCATCAAAACAGGTTATGTAATGTTCGCAAACAGGAGACAGAGTTGACACACATACAAGTAATGCGCCAAGCCTGCTCAAAGGTTTTCATCTTTGGAGCAGGAATATATACTGCAGGTATGACATAGAAACATAGGGATGGTTACGCACATACAGAGGATTGTTTACCCTCATGAGACAGAATGTCCCTCTCGAGGCCAGCGCCCCTAATCTCGGCTGACAAGATGTCTGCCAGCTGAGGGTAGCAAAACCCTTGAGTAGTACAGCCTTATTGATATCATGACACACATTATTTGCAGTTTTTCCAACATTTCCCACCTGGTTATACAAAGTATAACTCATTAAAAGAAAAAAGGAAAAACTATGGCCTTATTTAAAACCTTATTAAATGATTAAACGCAAAGAAAACAACGATTTGTTTAACAGATTGATCAAAAGTTCAAAGGATCAAACCGTGATTCTAAAATTATTGTTATTATTAATTAATCAATGGGTTAACATATTTATTTCATTATTATTTTTAAATCATCAAAGTCAAACAAAGTAAAAAATATATATATATATAATATTATTTGTATTAGCACGGCAGCCATTAGCATGGCAGCCCTTCCCCCCTTTGACAAGTCGCTCATGTGAGAAAAGGGTGACAAAATGCAAATCAAACATACAAATAATAACCCCAAAAGAAGGAAAAAGGAGAGGAGAAAATTTTTTCGCTGTCCTTCAGACTTAGGTACTTTGCGCACCGTAGAGGGCCTCCCCCCCAGCCTGAGGTTACTAACACCTGTGGCAGGAGGCATGGGGGGATGTTGTTGTTTTATTTCCTTCGAAAGAATCCAAGTCATTAAACATTGTTCTTCATTTTGTCCATTAGGGCAACTCAATATGTTTCAGTAAATCAACTTCATTAGAATAATAGTCTGGTTTTGCAAACATGGCACACACTGTCTTTATTAGCTGCAGTCACTACTGTGATCATCATACTGTCACATCTAATGATTTTCGACATATGAATCATCATTGCCTCCCAGTCCAGTGGTCTCATTTTGTTCAAACGGGGCCCCGATATCCTCCTCATTGCCAAGTGGGAAAAGATTAGGATTTCCCGCAATGTCACAGCTCTCAACATCCTCATCAACTGTTTGAGAGATCAGTTGGTACACTAGAATTTGTTTACTCAATGCAGCATTTATCCACTTCTGCAGCAACCCTCTCACACAGGGACTAAGACAACAGAAGAGAGCGATCGCCAGAAAGATGGAAGTAAACATTGAGATTGCCAAATCGTTCCACTTGCCAAACCAATTTTCCAGCATTTACTGAACGGGTTCTGGATTGCAGCATTTTCTGCTAATTCCTCAGAGAGTGAAGTTAGCCCCTTTAGCACCCTGGTCACTAACCCGTCTGGGGCAGTGTTGTTGGGGATGAAAGTACAGCACGTTGCTCCAAACATTTTACAGACTTCCCCCTTTCTGCTAGTAACATGTCTAGTGCCATTCAATTTTGCAAGCCATTAAACTAGTTTTGTCTAGCTGCCTGTGCAACCCATCTGTAGCGTCTCTGGTGTGGTTGATGAATCGTTATAATAGATGTAGTTTATCCAGTCGACATTTTTGTTTATCGTCACCGAGCAAAAGAACACTGACTCAAACCCTGCAAATATTGGAATTCTGGCCTTGTATTCGTCTGGTACCTCCCAGAGGGACCCCGATGGTATCATTATAGATGGATGGGTTAAAGCTACCGGCCGGTGAGGTTAGGGATCTCTTTGACCTGTGGTGGTCTGTCTTCTGGACAGTGCTCAGGGACTCGGTCCCCCTCGGTAACCTATAGAACGGTGCCACTCCACTGCTTAGGAACTGTGGCTAGAAGCCTCTTACCCCCACAGAACCACCAGGTGTCAGCCCTGGCCGTTGTCTGGTTTGTGAACCAAGTTGCCCTGTAGCCATTAACCGTGCCAGTGATGTTGTAAGTTGTATTACACCACCCCAGGGTCCCCACTGGTACTCCATTATCACAATATCTGGTGAAACCGGCGTAATTAGCTGCATAGGGTGAGAAGTATGGCGGTCTCAAGTCAGACATGATTGGTGGCAACAGATAATGTAAAGTAGCACATTTCTTTTCCTTTGGCCTATCGAGGCAGGAAAAGAGTTTTATGACACACCTCAAACCGGCTGGATCAGCGAACAAAGAGAGACGGAATGGAACCGTCCCCAGTCCTGGCCTAGATGGAACACAAGCCACACAGTTGGTTAAATTAATTTGGTCCGCTGAGTACATCATCCACTCTAGCCATACATTCCCATCGGTGTAACCAGTCTCTTAGTTAGTCCACGTCCCGCCCGTAGTTGTCTGCAGCTAATGTGTCGGTGCCGGTGTCCTTACGTGCACCGGGTTCAACTCCCGCGCACCCCTCCTCAAAACATTTACTTGTAGCCATTTGTTTTACCATACTCCACCGGCGGGCCTTAGGATTTGTGGGAGAAGTCCAAAAATATGGGTCAGTAGAGGCAAACACAGTGCCCAAGTTTTTGCATGGAAAACCGGTACAAATGTACTTCTGATCATTTCTTATCTTTTGACACTTTTCCCAGCTATGTTGTTGGTTGTCACATAAATCTCCTAAGAAGGTTGTATCTTGACCCTCACATTGAAAAACCCTGAGGGGAGGGGCCTCTGCCCCTCGTTTGTTCCTCATCAAGTATATAGAGCCCACCACAATCACAGTGATAAAAGCTTGGTTCATGTCAGGCTCTCTGTGGCCTTCTTGGCCTGATAACCCAGCTTTGGTGCAGGAAAAACATAATTTTGTTAAACAAAATTAACAAATGGTTTAAGCTTGGTAAACCACTGGTTCCATCATCTAATTGTTCAAAAGTTAGAATCCTCTAATGCTACTTAGTTTGTGACTTAAGCATACTGGAGCTACATTGTATCCAATTCATTTCCGTCTTAGTCATTATTTTATTTTACTTAATTGTACCATATAATTGTTCCATCAGTCCTGCTGACTGCGGATAATAAGAGCAATGATATTTCACATTCTTCCCAAAAGTAGGAATCAGGATACGTTGTAACTTTGTTGACACAGTGTGTACTGTTCAAAACAAAACATTCCCTTCGGTATCTCAACCCTCAGCCTAATTTCTTCTGTTAAGGCTTTTTGCCTTTGTTAAAACATCCCTTGCTTTTTTGGAAAACATTTAAAGTAATTTGGAAAACATTTCTATGATTGTCATACAATATTCCTTTTCTTTACATTGATTTAGTTCAATGAAGTCCATACTAATGTTTTCTCGTAATTTAAAACTTGGATTTGTGTTTTTCACAATCAATGCATGTCAAATTTTTTAAAAAATGTGTACAGCTAAACGCTGCACAGCCTTTCCATCCCTCCTGTTGAGCATGTGTTAATTTGACACATAGATCAAAATGGCCTAATCTCTATATAAGGTCTTTACCTTCTTCCGCATTATCTCAGTGGTGTTTTTGCCAAAATGTTTTCCCTTAGGAAAGTTGATCAGGTGGTTTGTGGTTTCCTGTTGAAACTTTCACTACCAATTGTGTGGTGTGTATTTTGGTTTTAGTATTTTACTTTATTTAGTTGTTGTAATACCAATTACCTATGCTTTTTTATAGATCTGTTGTTTGATGTCATAAAATGTCCTCTACAATCCGCTTGTTTGTGTAAAGGTTTCATTTTAAATCTTTACATCCCAGCAATTATGAGCCTATTCTTCTAAATTAAATGCCAATCTCAATGGACAATCCTTACGCCCTTGTATTTAAGTAAAGTGCATAGACACACGCTCTACAACATCAAGAGAATACGTTCTCTTCTCACTCAGAAGGCAGCGCAGGTACTGATTCAGCCTCTTGTCATCTCACACCTGGACTACTGCAACTCCCTCCTGGCTCCCTGCTGCCACCATTCAACCTCTGCAGCTCATTCAGAATGCAGCACCTCGACTGGTCTTTAACCTTCCGAAATTCTCCCACACTACTCCACTCCTCTGCTCTCTTCACTGGCTACCGGTGGCCGCCCGCATCCAGTTCAAAGCATTGGTGCTCACGTACCATGCTGTGAATGGATCGGGTCCAGTCTACATTATATTTATTATATATTATATTATTATTGAACTTATTGTAAGTCACTACTATAGTCAATAATTGTACTTATTGTAAGTCGTTTTGGATAAAAGTGTCAGCTAAATGACATGTAATGTAATAAAAATTAACAAGTTGACAGTTGACGTAAAAAGATCAAAAAAGTGACAGAAGATTGGCGTTTCACGATGTTAAATTCCACAACAAATCAATAGAATGTTCAAGACACATTTTCTCCCAACATGCTGACTTCTGGGTTCAGGATTTCCCGCTCGCAACCCTGAACATCACAGCAGCATCTGGTTGGTCCACATTCCAAAGCACAGCGTCAAATTGTTGTGCTGCGGGACCTTAAAAACGTATTGTTGTCATTCAGAGTAAAATCTCAATGAAATTCATTCAAAACGGCCCAGCATTTAGCGGTGGAGCTCAGTAACGGGGACGGGGGGAGAGGGTGGTGTCTC